CGCTTGACCAATCGTTTCTGCGGCCAACGGCTAAAATTTTTCAGCCTCATTTATCCGCACTAAGCTCCAATAATATCACCTGATTCAACTCTATGAAAATTTCGATCAAAATCGAGAATTTCAAATGTCAATTTGTCAGTGTTAAATGTCAATTTCAAATGTCAAAAAATGTCAATTTCATAGCGTAAAAATGGGGAAAAGATCACAAATTTTGGTGTTTTTTAGGCGATTCAACTTTAAACTGACAAAATTACTGTCAAAATTGGTGTCGTGAATTGAAATCAAAACGGTACAATATAACAACGTAAGTGAATAACACAAAATCAATTAAGAGCTTTTTTTCAAAAGACTGAAAAATCAAAACAGGTCATCAGAAATATTTCAGTATAAATCTGCATCATCGAATTCATCACGAAAACCTTCCAACCCATACAACAGATAATCAGATAATAGATCCAAACCGGATCATAGCCTACTGGCTCAGGCTCACAACACATTAATGATATTACTACACCAGCACTCGGTTTCGAGCGCAAAACTTTCCCCCTCCGAATCGAACGGAATCGAACCCGAAGCCAACTACCAATTACCGCTCGGGGCTCTACCTCTGAGCAGCTACCGCGGAGACCTACCGTTCAGTCTCTGCCGAGTGATTGTGTTATGATCGCAATCAATCGGTTCTTCAGTGCACATAATGCGAGCAACTGATCTGATCTGATCAGCTGATCAAACGCTACAATCAGAGCGAACTGATCTGTAGGCGATCACGATAACATAACCAATAATATCAGGTGATTAGATAAGTTGCGGGTTCGATTCCCGTTCGACTGGGAGGAATGTTTTGCGCTCTAAACCGAGTGGTGTACCAATACCATACAACAGTGTTAACTGATACATCGTCATTTTGATGTATCCCTCATCTCATCTCGATCAAATCTCTAAGCTCTAAATCAATCAACAACGAAACACACCTCAGAAGGTCCCTGAACGGCCTCTGTTGCTATGTTCAGATTCAATTCGGCACCTTCCTCCTCCTCCTCGTCCTCATCAGAGTCCTCCGGGTCAACATCCTTCTCCTCACCAGACGAAGCCCGCCGCTCATTCGACGACGAGCCCGCTCCGTCCCGGTCGCCAACCCCCTCTGGCCCCCTAGTATCTTCCGGGTCAGTTGCCTCTTCACCACTATCATCCCCTGAGGTTCCAGCCTCGTCAAAGTGACTGGAATCAGAATCGCTTGATGACTGGTCGTCGTCGTGAACCCGTTTACGACTTTCCGCTGATCGAGCAACCCGTCCCATCGAAGAAGCCTCCTTCTTACGACCTCGCTGATCGTCTGCCTTCCCATTTTCCTCCACCTGTTCAGGCTCATCCTCGTCAACTTCTTCATCAGAAGACAGCAAAAAATCACTGAGGGTTGTTGATTTGGCCGCTGTCATAGTAATCTGCACCACTCTTCAAATAGGAAAACGTGATTTTTCGGTAGATCAATTCGATAGATCAATGATTTTTCGATAGATCAATTCGTTTTCGCGATCAGTTTCGATAGAATGTCAAAACAACCATCCGGCTCAAAAACGATCCGAACACGATGTGGCCGACGAAACAAACAGTTAAAACAAATCAAACGAAACGATATCAAACTATTGCGGATATGGAAAGGACATGAAGTCAATTTCCGAAAAATTATCAAAAATTATGACTCTCACCTATAAATTAACTTAACGATGGCAATAGCCAAGTAACGTGTTTCACATCTTTTAAGGAATTCACCAAGGGTACTACCTGCAGTTTTAATCTGAAGACTGCATCTCAAACTTTGCTAAAAGCTTTGGTTTGGTCAAAAATATTTTTCAAATTCCAAAATTTTTCCCCAGGTAGTTGCTACCCGTAATTTTTTCCCATCCAGGTCTTCCCAAAATTCTCGGTTTTTTAATACTAGTATGAAAGGTCTTACTCCATTCTACCTACCTTAATATAGAGCCTAGATCTCAAGCGGCCGCTTGGCTATGCCCTAAAATATTTAAAATATTTTTCAAATGCCCAAAATTTTCCCCACGGGTTTCTTTCCGATCCAGATCATTGACAATCCAGATCACCCTGTTCCTATTCACCAGAACGGATCAAGAGATTCTGCAGCGCATACACACAACATCAAGCCCTAATCATCAAGCAGCAATAATAATCCCAACGCAACCAACACCACCATATTAATATCTCCAATCAAACGAGCTTAACGTTTAATATCCCATGTAAACATCCACAAATTTCAAATTAAATTTAAAAAAAGTTTATCAAACGAATAAAATCGTTACTGTACAAAAGAAAAAACATTAAATGACAATAAAACACTCCTTCTATCATCATTATTTGATCAAAATTTGATCAAACGATCAAATGATCAAATTATATGATCATCAAAAATCCAAAAATTATCAGCATCTGCGAATGTGAAAACTTGATCAATCATGACAATTATGATAACAATATCATAAAACTGATAATAGTAATAGTAATAATAATAATAATAATAAAATACAATAATAATAATAATAATAATAATAATAATAATAATAAAATAATGTGGTCCTTTGGAAACGTGAAAAACACTCGAATACTTACAAAATAAGAGCTCATAAGTAGATCTTCCAATTATTAATATATACTGATCATACCCATCGATCCCATTCTGCTTCCATCTGATCCCGGCTCAAAATCGATCAGGGTCAAATGCAATCAAAATACAATAATAACAGTAATCAATACATAAAATAATACTAGCAATAATTTAAAAATAATAATAACAATAATAATAAAAACAATAAAAGGAATGAATGTGACATCGAGAGTACATTCTACCAATGATAACACACGTGATAATCGTGGATATTATCAATACTACTGATAATATCGTCACTTTTTTACTTTGGGGGGTCGCACGCGAGCGTGCTCGCGTGCGACCTCCCCCCGAAGTAAAAAAGTGCCATAATATCAATTAAAATACCAACCATATCAGCAATATAATGAAATTAAAAACCACTCAACGTAACACATCTTAAGGCGATTAAACATCAAACAAACGAAAAAATATTGCGGAAGTCTCTCAAGTGAAATCATTTAAAGTTATATCCGAAATATAACATCAATAGGTATATATTTATATATAATAATAATAATAATAATAATAATAAAATAATAACTGATTAATATACACACAATATAGTACATGTATAAATAATACACAATGAATAACAATAATAGATACACAAAACATCCATATCTACTACTGCTATCCACTGCTACTCTCAAGACAGCTAATATAATCTCTCAAATCCCAAATCCCTCTCACATCAATTAATCGCGAAAGATATCCCCTGATTTTGAGAGATCTCTGGGTTCGGGTGCATTCATATCGGTAAAGGGAAAGGGAGCAGGGCAGCTGGAAGGGACCTGGACAGGACAAATATTCCAGAGGACACGATTACTAGGGACTCGGAATTGAACGCTACTCATCACAATCTCTTAATATTTACACCAAAAGAGTCTCATCCTTTAAAAATCCCTTTAATCCCTCTAAAAAATCAATCACCCCCTCCTCGTTTAAGGTTTAAGCATAATAATATATGGTTCGTTCACGGAATGCACGGCACAAAATACACGTCGATATCAGTGCAAAAAGCTCGATAACGAAGAGAATAAACGCGATGATTATGACCACCTGACCGGTCGACTGAATCCAGTCCGAGATGACGGTGTAGCAGTCCGGCTGAAATATCTCTTACTCGTTTAAAATCGGATTAGCTATTACTTGGATATCGAGTGCTTGTTTCGTCAAACGCTGTGAGCGATCAGCGGATTATTTATTTTATTAGAGTTATGATTACTTATTGGATTGCTAATTGGCTGCGTTTAATTATGCAAAGCGTTCACGGCAACTAATTAATTACTCGGTTGTGTTCGGTTGGCCTGCTCACCTAGCAGCCAGCGGGGTTTAG